TTTTTTAGATAGCTGCGAGACGTTATCGTATAAATCGGGAACGAAAACCTAAAAAAGAAAAGAGGTATATAAACTTGCCAGCTAGATAAATTCACATGATGAATTTGCGTCTAACTGATTACTCTCCCCTTCAATTGATTACTTTTTCATACTGATTTTTAGTATCAATATCCCGTCAGGTAATTATTTAAGTACACAATATTGGTAAATAAAGAAAAATATCGATTTCTATTTTTTTTCAATAAAGTTAATGCTATTCCCATATGCTGCTACTGTGCGAGTGACATTAACTCTAGTAAAAGAAACTTGCTGCCATATAAATGTTTATATATAATACACATGGGCATTATTTGAAAAATCAGGTTTATCAAAAAATCGAAACTTGTTTCAAAATAACACCCATGCGCGTACTCTAATTAACACGCATATACTCAAAATAATACACAGGTAGGTATTATTACGCAGAAATATGGTAATACTATTTTGTATAACAACTTGTTAGACTTCGTGATAGCATGTTTTGATTGAGGATACCCATTTAGTATTTTATTATAATCTCTGATCACTATGCCAAGATTAGGGTGTTCAGGATTATGATATGATATAATATATGCATAATTTATGATTTTTACTATATAAAATCGCATAATCTGCTTACTTTCATGCAGTATATAAACAAAAATTGATTGGTTAATGAATAAACCGGTTTGTCCCTATAACTGTAATCATTTGACTTGTTATTCTTTTTGAATTTTTATTGGCTAATAACTCAAATTTCACATCATTTGATGATTTGTTATATATATAATATGTCTATCTTCATATAATAATCTTGGACAAATAGCAGAGACTGTTAATTTTACACATATTGTGAGGAATTATATCCATCACAATTGAATTCAATATAAATAATTTAATTTGTGATTGATCACAGGAAAGAGAGATTTACTTTGGATCGAGTACTGTTTTTGCTGTTTCCTAGACAACCTAGTCAAGATTATGAAAGATTAATGAAGTATGTAATGTATTTGAAATAATTATGAGGTAATTAAAAGCCAAGTGAAAACTTAAATATCAAAAAAAAAAAGTTTTTTTTTTTTTATATATTAAGGTGAGGTCACACCTCTGGTTTTTATTACATATAGCTTTGGTGGTTACAAGGACATATACATTAACTTACGAACTACAGAGACTTAGACTAATTTATCTACAACCTAAACCTACTAAAATGTTCCATGCCCCACACATGACTCATCTAGTTTTACGCTTCCCAACTAACTATTTCTAGCAACTACATATTCCCCATGTCTCACCATGCTAGTCATAACTTCCAATTTGGTAGTATCAGATATTTGCTTCTAATAAGCTTCCAATTTGGTATATTTGCAAATACGATCCACTACAAATCTCCTTACGGATCCTATTAGTGCAACTGTAATTGGTGCAGATGACCTTTCTACAGCCCATATCTCAAGCCAAAATCTTGCTACCTAGTTAAGTTCACCACATGACTGAGTTGGTATTTCATTAACAAATAAGATTAACCCAACCTTCCCACTTATCAGCCCAGGTACTACTACTAACCCGTATCTCAAGCCAAGTTTCTGCTGCCGCCACCTCAGGACTTAATGTTTTTTTTTGATATAGTGGTACCAACTAACCTATTTGTACTTTCTCATATAGTATATTACCAGAACTATATTTTGTAATGCTGCTTTAATGACCTATCTTGTTAAAGACCAGCCTAATGCTATGAAATTCCTTAAGTAGCAAGCAGCTCTACTTCCAACCGTAGGCCTTGCGTCATGTTACTAGGAGGCGTACCCCAATTCACCTTGACTTCTAACTTGGACTCTCATCTATTGGTTGGTATTGCATTATTGTTGGTGTATTCTGGCTTCTTTTCATCATAGACTTTCATATAGATATGACCAGAGCTCTGACTTGGTGCTTTTAGACGTACTGGATTAGTTAGCCTGCCTCTATGAAATTACCTTCTTTAGTTAGCTATTTCACGGTGCCAGAGATGCTTCTAATTTTAGGTAAGACCAATCCTTTACTATAGCTCTTTTATATGTTTATCGCTTCTCTTACCATTTTAGTTTTGGTAATATTGTATCACTTTTCTAAGCAAGTACCCAGCACTATTCTACATTAGAACTTATACGCACAATCCGTTGATTATTCTTTCAAGCAAGTACCTCACAAGTTGGATGCTGGGATGTTGGTATTACCAAATATAGAGGTGGTGGGATGTTGGTACTGCCTCTTTAGTCACCCCAACCAGAGAACTTACTTGTACAATCTTCTACAATTTAGATCTTTTGTGATACCGTTGTCACACATAGTGCCTGCACTCCATGATCAGGGCTTCTTCTGGGAATTCCTATTCCAAAACCATACTTGCACTTAGACTTTTTACAGGGCTTTGCATTCGATTATAGCTTCATAAGGTTAAAGCAACAAATTTTTACAATTTGCTGCTAGTCCGACTCGAACCGTTGACCTTGTCTGTGGGTTTAGGAGCTTAACCAATAAGCTATAGGGCCTAAACCCATCGAAAAGAAAAGTTATATCTATACTATTTTATAATATGTATAAAAAAATCAGTGATTGTCTGATTTCTTTAGTATTTTATCACTACATTTTACAAACTGCAGTAAAAAATTGCAAATTAACCATAGCTGTCACAACAAAATTATAACCAGGGTAAAATTGCCACCCAAAAAGTTTTGAACATCATGTAACAAATATATCGAGCACCAAAAATTCATATAACTTGAACAAAAAACAAATAAAAAAAATTTAGACGAACAAAATAATTCACAATAAGCAATAAATTATTTTATTTATTTATTCAATAAATATAATATTTATTACAACCTGAAAGTATTATGATTATGGTTTTTTAAGTATTTGAAATATTCCATTGCCTTTTAAAATGATTATAATCCTCTTCCAATTTATGCGATGACTTAAAATTTTTATTAATACTATTGAACCATTTGTCACTACTGTATTTGGATTCATTATGTTTTTTCAATAATTTTTTTTGTTATATCCTAGATTCAGAATTATAAAAACTTCTTGCTAAATAAATAATCAGTTATAGTCTTCTGGAAGATTATTAAAAATAAAATCTACAAGGTTTTCTGCAATTGCATTTTCTTGATATAGTTTTTATAATTTTATTTCGATTTTATTTTTTTTTTCATTTATTATTAGTAAAAATTTGATTACAGCAATCAATGTATATTTTTAGATTATTGTGTTTATTGAATTTTATGCTTTTAAAAGAATTACTTGGTTTGTCGAGATTGCAATAATTGCTTTTTATTTTAAAGAATTAAAAAAATAAATCACTAAATCAATTATGATTCTAATTAACAATATTACATGATTTTCGAACCTTTTTTGGGTAGCGATTTTACCCTGTTCCAAAATTGTCACTCGATTTTGATTGGCTAACGGCTGAGGACCTTTAAAATTTTGGTCTGCATTATATAATTGTTCATTAATTTCTGGCCAGAATTAACTTTTTAATTTTTTCTTTACAAAAATATAAATTTTTAAAAAATAAGCCTGTATTATGATAAAATTAACTCAGGAACAATTTCTATTTAATAGGCGGCTATAATTTCATCTAGATAATTCTGGCCTAATCTTTTGATAGTCGCTTTTAGCCAATCAAAATCAAGAATCTGCTGTGACAATTTTGTTGTGACAGTTATTACAAATGGCTGTGCTACCAATCAACTAATTGAATTCAATAATTGCAATTAATCATTACATGCTATAGCTTAAATTTATTGCATATGAATTACAAAAAAAAATTGCTATGTATTGATAATTATTTCCTTGTGACGCTGGTCTGCACCTTTCCTGTTTAAATAGATAGTGTGCTTACTATTATTAAACCTTAGAATAATATAGTAATAAAAAATTATATATCATGCATAAAATTTGAAAAGGTGCTAATTTGCTTATAAATAGCTGTATGTTGTTAATATATTTATTTTTTTATAACTAACATGATATTTGTGAAAATTATTTTTAATGCCTTCTAAAAAAGCCTCTAAGAAAGAGACTGTATCTGCAGGCAAAAAAGCACTTACGTCCTCAGATAAAAACAACATAGCTTTAATCGAAAATAAGAAGACCTATAATGATCAGAACAAGATTTACAAGAGTCATGATCCTGTTAAAAGCTTTAATTATAATGATATTAATAAAGTATTCCGAATACAACACAGTTGTTTTTGATCAGTGGGTTCTCATTTTCAATTACAGCTCTCTTAATCAAGAGATTCTCAGTCGAGACATTCTCGTTCTCGATTACCATCTTCTCAATCAAGAGATTCTCTGTCAAGATATTCTTGTACACATTCACGACATTCTTCTTTACAATGTTCATATTCACAATATTCTTCTTTACAATGTTCATATTCACAACATTTTTCTTTACAACGTTCATATTCATGACACTTTCTTTTACGATATTCTCATTCATGACAGCATTCTCACTTACGACACTTTCCCTTGTGACGTTCTTGTTCATACAGCATTTTTACTCACGACACTCTCTCTTATGACATTCTTATTCATACTACTCTTCTTTACGATATTCTCATTCACACCACTCTTCTTTATGATATTCTTGTTCATGAAGTTGATCACAACTCTTTCGAATTTAAACTAATAACTGCAAGACAATCTTATTTGAGTCAGATTATAAAGCTACAGTATATGTTGCTGAAAGACCAAAACTTTTAAAAATTGCAGTACAAATAGCTTAGTATGATGGCCTTAAAGTGTCTGACAATGAAAAAAAAACAACAGTTCTTACTCAACTAGTAAGATGTTCTATCTCTTATTATATGATTATTATTAAATTGTTTTTTTTTTTTTACTTAACATTTTTATCTTTAAGAATCAGTGAAATTTCAAACCTTTTTAAAATACATGTTTTTTAGAATACGATATCTTACAAAAGCAATAATTCTTAAATGTATTAAATTATGCTTTCTATCTAAAAAGTTTTCTCATAAAGACTTATCTGTTTTAAAAGGT